TCTCAAATTCTTTAAAAGCACCGGCGAGATTAACAGCTTCACGAATAAATTGGTTTGCGGTAGGTTTATAAACATGACTAAAAGTTTCAGTTGCATTAAAAATAAATATCAAAACATTACAAATTTTTTCGCAAGTGTCGATCTCAGCCGAGTTTATAATATAGTTATCATGTTGTTTTAAAAAAGCAGGAAAATGTTCTTTATATCTAAGAACAACTTTAAGTAATTTATAAGTACTATTCCAACGAATACTCAAATCTTTAGGAAAAGCAACATATCTCACACCTCTTTCGGTCAAATAAGTTTGCCATTTTAATCTAAGTTGACCATTACCCCAAATACGTCTAATCCCTCCCCCTTCACTACCTCCATAGCATCTCCTAACGCTTTTAGACCGTCTTGCACACATAAATTTGTAACATGGCATGCACAACGTTGATGAAAAAAATCTACCCATCAAAGTATTGGCACCACACAATTCACGCAATCTAGGTATAGCAGCAGTATTATTAGTAGCATTATCGAAACCAATAGCAAACACCTTATCAATCAAATTATACTCAATTAAAATACACTCAATCAAAATATAAATATGTTCAGCGGTGTGACGATCATTAAATTCACGAAAAGCAAGAACACGTTTATGCATACTCCAATCCTCATCAATATAATGTGCAGTCAGACCCAAATAATATAAATGATGAAAATCATCCTCCCATATGTCAGAACAAATAGTAACACGCCCATCAAAGTTTGCAAAAAAAAAATTGTAACCTTGCCTTTTCCGCATTATAAAGCCTTATAATTTCTTTCTTAACAGTTTTGCGACTATAATTTCTAAATTGAGGATTTAAACTACCTTGTGCATAATCTCTTAAAGCAAGACTTTCAGAAAACATATAAGGCAAATTTTCTTCACAAATTAAGTTAGCCATACCAGTCAAATTTTGTGCATCATTGTAGGAGAAATTACCAAAAGGTTGAGAATTCGCAAACCTCGATATTTGAGTTTGCTTCCCCGTTCCGCAGCCTAATTTTGCATACTCCACGGGGTGCTTTGCCTTAAGATGCCTTGCGGTGGATCCGTATCCGCCGGAGGTCCCCAAACTATAATTGTTGTTGCACCACTTGCAAGTTGCGTGCCAATAGCCGGTTTGTGGGTCCTTCCATTTATCAAAATTATTTTGCATTAGTTCAGATTTACTTTTTTTTATCACCGGTGGCGGTTTGGGATGAGGCAGGCTCGTCGGCGTCGTGGCTGCCGGCACCCTCCTCCTTGGCCGTCTCCGGTTCCATTTCCTCCGCATCTTCATCCTCAAGCTCCTCTTCGTCAATGGTCGTCGGAATTTGTTGTTGTTGTAGAAAGCAGTTATTATGTCAGGCCAATTCTTGTTGTAGTTGTTCTTCGGACATCGCATCTCCATCTCGCCTTTGGTAACCCGTTTCAAAATCATCTCGGCTTTGAGATGAAGAGCCGACAAGTTCTTTACCTTTGCGGGATTTCTTCCTCCCAATCTCGTTCCTTCGATTGCGTTGGAGGTTACCCAAATCAACCGAATATCTACCATCTTCCATCTTAAAAATGTAACAAATATTAATTCGCAACAAATATAATAATGAATACAAAACTAATGCAACTAATTAAAAATATTTTAATTAATACTTCAAACTAATTTAGTGCAAAGTAGAATTAATGTGTGACTCTAAAATTAAAATTATAGCAACTTTTCAAGTACTTTAATTTAGTAAAAACTACTTAAATAAAATGTTAAGTACTTTAATTAAATGATTGAACTACTATTTTTTCGTTCAAATATAAATTGAAAATATTATAATGTGACTTTAACTATAATGACAATTAACGAGTTTTTTGAAGTAGAGTTGTTTTAGCAATTAATGGGAATACTAATGAACTAATTAACTAGTATAATGAAAAATGTAACAAAAATGCTAATGAACTAATTAACTAGTTTAATGAAAAATGTAAAAAGAATACTAATGAACTAATTAACTAGTATAATGAAAAATGTAACAAGAATGCTAATGAACTAATTAACTAGTATAATGAAAAATGTAACAAGAATCCTAATGAACTAATTAACTAGTATAATGAAAAATGTAACAAGAATACTAATTAACTAATTAACTAGTATAATGAAAAATGTAACAAGAATACTAATTAACTAATTAACTAGTATAATGAAAAATGTAACAAGAATGCTAATGAACTTATTAACTAGTATAATGAAAAATGTAACAAGAATGCTAATGATCTAATTAACTAGTATAATGAAAAATGTAACAACAATGCTAATGAACTAATTAACTAGTATAATGAAAAATGTAACAACAATGCTAATGAACTAATTAACTAGTATAACGAAAAATGTAACAAGAATACTAATTAACTAATTAACTAGTATAATGAAAAATGTAACAAGAATACTAATTAACTAATTAACTAGTATAATGAAAAATGTAACAAAAATACTAATTAACTAATTAACTAGTATACCACTAGTTATAGTAACTAATATATAATATAATGTTTATAGTATATAATATATAAGTATACTACTATAAGATGAGTAATACACTTATATTTTATACTTTAATATATATACTATATATTAAGTAGATGTAGAATGTATGTATTAACTATTAAGTGGATATAATAATTGTATAAGAATTAAATATTAGAGTATAATGGAGAATTGGAGATTGGAGAATAAGAAAATAAGTATATATGAAATATAATTAGAGAAGTAGATATTATTATGTATTAAGTATATAGTAATAGTTTATAAAGTATATTTAATACTTTAATATATAAAGTATATATTAAGTAGATGTAGTATGTATGTATTAAGAGATATAAGTAGAGATTAAGTAGATAAGAAATATAAGTAATATAGTATATGTATTTATAAGTAGATAATTAATATATAAGTAGATACAATAATTGTATAAGTATTAAATTGTAAAACAAAATATAATGGAGAATAAGAGAATTTGAGAAGATGAATATGGAGATGAGTAGAGAGTAGGATTTAGGAAGAGTTGGAGAAGAGGTGTGAAAAAATGTTTAAAATTAGGAGTATTTATAGTTTTTTTTTAACCACCACCCCCCACCCCACCCCACCCCCAAAGTCCCCGGACCCCCCTGGTACCCACCCAACGGCTATATAGCCGTTTGGGAAGTGGGTCAAGTGCTCAAAAGGCTTTTTTAATTTAATAGGATTTTTTTTAAAAAAAAAAATTGGACCGTTAGGCCCGGGCCCGACCCGGCCGGGCCGGGCCGCCAAAAACTACACCCGAGCCCGGACCGGCCACCCCCACCGGTTCGGTGCCCGAACCGGACCCGGACCCGGACCCGGACCCGAGAACCGGGTCGGTTCCGGGCCCGCACAGTAACGGGCTGGGCCGGACGGCCCGAACCGGGTCCACCACTACTTAAGAGGTCATATTTTATAGATAACTTTTATTTTAGTCATCAACATATAATTATTTGTTTTTAAATAAAAAGTAGTGTGTAAATTTATTTTGTACGGAGTATGGGAGTAAATAATAACTTGAAGTAAAACATCCTTATTCAAACTACTACGCCTCGTTGGTGGATCAAGCAACACATTTTTTAACTTTACTTTATACTGTGAGGATAGTGCGTTGGAATTTTTGTAATTCAGCTAATAAATACTCCCTCCGTCCCTAAATAAACTTTCAACTTTCCTTTTTCGTCCGTCCCAATTAAAACTTCTACTTTCCTCTATTGGCCAGAATTTGTGGTTCACAGCAATTCTTACACATTACTCTCTCCTCTGCACAACTCTCCATCACACAATACCCACTATCTTAAACTGTGTGCCAAACTTATTTGAAAGATATAATAGGGACGGAGGGAGTATAAGATTAGCTCTCTAGATGATCGAGCTTAGTTAAAGCTTAAAAATTGACTTATTCAAAGCGTAAAATTGACTTATTCAAGGGGTGTTTGGAACTGATTCTGTTTCTGTTTTCAGAATCAGAATCAGTTTTCAGAAGTTGGTCTCTCCTAGCTTCTAAAAAAACTGATTCTAGGAGTAAATTAGAGCACCAGAATCACTTCTGCACTTTCACCCAAACACTCCAAGTGCTGCTTCTGCTCCTGCTCCCTGAAGGAGCAGAAGCAGTTTTAAGAATCAGATCCAAACATCCCCTCAAAGCGTTACCACAACTAATATTTCCTTTTTTCTTGAAACTAACATGATTAATATTTCTACTAATTCAATCGATTATGCAATACAATTTCCTTGTCTAAATAATCTTATCCTTTTTTCTGAAAGGAAATAATCTTATCCTTAGTGGGTCTAAAGTCATCTTGAGGAAGTGTGTTATTTAATAATTCAACGTTTTTCTCTAACTATAGCTACATGGAAATTTATAAATACTTGTATTACTTTTTTGTCTCGTTTTATCTTCTTTTTTTTATACGTCTCTTTGAAATCGTCTCATACTAAATTTGATAAATACCGTATGATTCTAGATAATTCTTACTTTATCAATTTAATATATTAATCACATAAATCGATTTTTCTTAAATAACTGAACCATCTTCTCATTTCTCATTAATGTAAGTGGGATGAAGCCGCGTGAAGGGAGGTAGTATTATTTTTTCATCTTCCTCTTCCTTATTTTGTAGGATAGTATTATCTTTTCAGCTCATCTGTTTAACTATTACACCATTTACGTGTAATTTTTGTTCTTACTTTTTGCAATAAAATAAATGTGAGCGAATGTTCCATTTCAATTCAATTGGTAGATTTATAATCTCATAATCTTATCATATAATGCATTAATGCGTGTCCCTAGGAGAAAGGAAGAATCAAATGTATAATCAAAGCTATTCAAAAGTCATTATTACTACTTAAAACGTTAAAGGATAACTAAAATTTTCACTTCCGTTGTACCGTAATGGAAGGCCATAAGTATCACTTCCCGATTGCATAATTCAATCCAATTCACTCGTTATTGTCTGTACTCTGTAGTGAGGTATGTATAATAAAATGTTAAAAGTAAATGTATTTTTCAAAAATAAAGTGGTATTATACGTAAAAAAAGAAGCTGCGGTCTCTCCCTATCTCAAGGTTCGAGTTTTCTGCAGTCATCAAGTGCGGCTGCGTATTTTCAATAGGTAAGATTTGTAATCATGAAATCTTCGCTGCGTACGTTTGCTCGTCGATGGAAAAAGCGCTGCAACGGTCCAGAGAGGAAGCAGGAGAGGCGTCGCGGGAAGAAGGTCGGCGGCAGTCAAAAGCCCTTAGTTCGAAAATTGGTGAAGCACCGGACGAACTGGCGACCGATGATGAAGAAGAGGTGGCCGAGTCGGAGGAAAACCACTTTGGTGCGTCAACAATAATAGTGAGAAAAATGCTAAAGGTACCCCAATTGGTACCCCAATTTGTACCCTCACCCTATTTTTGTGGCTCACAAAAGCACCTCATTAAAGTGGGGCAATTCATTTATTTATGTGGGCTTTTGTGAGTCACAAAAATAGGTTGGGGTACAAATTGGGGTACCAATTGGGGAACCTATAGCAAGGCTGATAATAGTGATGGTCCGATCTCCTCCTGAACTATCGCGACATCGCCAATGATTGAATGGGGTACTAGGGTTCAAGAAATTTATTTTGAAAGGCACCTTAATTTTGCTTGCTTGACGTTTTTTATTTTTCGTTTTGTTTTGGATCTGTACTTTGCTTTGGTTGTGTTGTGTTTTTCCAGCAAAAAAACTTTAGAACTTAGGACAGGAGACGAGAAGTCTGATTAGCAAGTCATTGGCTCAGGTAAGCCCAAAGCGGGATCAACGAATTATATTGTTTCTACGGAGGTGGTCAATTCCAAGTCTGATTCTAGGGCGGATGGTAGACAGAAGACTTATTGTAGTTTTGTAACCTGCTTTCGTTCTGTTATGATAAGCCAAACCAGTTTTGTAAAAAAAGTGGTATATATTTTTTTGGCAAAATATAACTTAATTTATATTAAAGACAATGTATAGATACAAAGCCGCCAAACAAAACGCTACGCCGGGATGAGACATAGGGCGTGTTTGGCATTTAGCGGTTAGCGGTTTATGTTAGCGGATTGTTAAAAGCGGATTCAATCAGCGGGTTTGACCAACGGAATAAAATTGGCGGATTTTGAGGAGATGTTTGGTAATTTAGCTGTTTGGCCATAAAATTAATACAAAACATCATTTTTCAAAACGCTAACCCAAAACTCTCCTATTTGTAGCATTTTCATTTCAGCGGCTTCATCCAAAAACGCTAGTGCCGAACAACTATTTACCAAACAACATTTTTGCTCATCGAAAACGTCAAAAGTGGTCAAACCGCCATTTTTTGGCTGAAACGCCATTTACCAAACACTCCCATAGAGTTGGATGACCGCTTAGTGGCAAATTAACTCGTTAACCCCACAATTTGGTAGACTCCACCAACAACATTGCTGCACTAGCTACTAGAATGATAGAGAGAAATAACTAAAAGTTTTGAGAAGAAAGACAATAAAAAGAATGGCAAGTTCCAGTTTTTCTAGCCACCGGTAAGGTAATCGTGGTTACCAGCCACCACAAAAGGAAAAAAAGTCAACCACCACTGCCACCTCTTCACTACTATATGTTATTTTACTATGGACAATGTTGTGATAATTGAGAACTTTTCGGGGAGGTCCATTAAGGCTGATTATATATAATTTTTCAGTTAAATGGAACATTTTCATGAGGATAAAAGTTAGTTTAGATCTAAGTAGACCATGAAAAGGAAACTGTTTTTGCAAAAAGGAGTTGATTTATGTATTAATTTTCGTTACGAGAAATTGCCCAATTTTTGTTTCATGTGTGGCATCACTCGACATGCTAAGAAGTATTCTCCTCGCAATTCTGAAGGTTGCATGAGTTGGGGACAAACCTTTCGGGCCTTGGCTGAGGGCCACTAAAGGGGGCAGTACTGGTCAGTTTGGGGCAACCTCAAAGCAAAGAGGGGGCAGTGGTCGATTCTAATGTTGAAAGACAAAGTACTTTGGCTACAGGAAAAACAGGCAGAAGACAAAGTTGAGCAAAAACGTAGGAGAGTTGAACAGGAGGATGAGTCAATCAACAATAACATGGAGGTGGAGCTGTGGGGGACAAAAAACGGGAAGGAGACATGTTCCAGCTCTGCAACTTGCCAGACACACTAATGGCAATCTCACATAATGGCAATCCAGCTGGTTGTAAAGTTACTCTGCCTAGTGGGAGGTCTCGAGTTCGAAACCTGCTAGATACACAAGGGTTCGAAACTCAATGGAGTGAGTTTCAGCCATGATTACTCCATGCTCCCCCAACCCCCCCCTCCCCCAGACCCCCTGGAGTAAAAAAAATCAGAATAAAGATGGAGCTGAAAAGCCTCATCAGATGATTGCTAGTTTTTTTTTAAGTTACTTTAATATGTTTGTTTAAGTACTTTATTTTTATTGTTGCTTTTGACTCTGGGATGGTGGGTTGTTTCTGATTTTTATTTCGGTAGGTAGAAGTTTCTATGAAAATAATCAAGCTGCATTGGCTGATACTCTAACATGTTCAATGATTAGTCTGCCTCTTAATTGGATGACATATTCTATGTCTGCTCAGAGAGTGAGAGGACATGTTGGCTTGAAGAAGTTTAGAGGGTGAGAAAGGTTTGTTGTGGTTGGTAGGATGATGATTTATTTAAATATAAGACGGAGTATAAGGGTCTGTTTACTAACAGAGATATTTTCCAGTTTTATGGAAAAAATGGAAAATTGCAAAAAGAAAAACAGAAAACGTGTTTACCAAAGAAAATTGCTGGAAAACTGGAAAAAGAAAAACAGAAAAATGCGTTTACCAAATCGCTTTCCAAAACAAAAAAAATGGGACATGTCTCTATTTTCCTTAATAAATCGGAGAAGTGACTTTAACAAGTTTTCCAAATTTAGAAAACGCGGATGTTGTTGTGACCCCGACAGTCCCTAACTGGTTCGGTCATTGACCCGGTGGTTCCTGTCAATCTGGTTAACGACCAAGCAACCCCGGTCCGGTCCGGTCGATGACCTGATGGTACTAGTCCAGTCTGGTCAATGACCCGATGGTCCCTGTCCGGTCTAGTCCACGACCCGACAGCCCCCCTGTCCAATCCGATCCACGACTCAGCGGTCCCTGTCCGATTTGATCGATGACTCGACGATCCTGGTCCGATCTGGTCGACGACTCGATGATCTCGGCCCGATCCACGACCCAGGAGTCCCTGTTCGGTCAGATCGATGACCCGATGGTCCCTGTTTGGTCTGATCCATGACCGCGTTGTTCTTGTTCGGTCCGGTCGACAGTCGGGCAGTCCCGATCCGATATGGTTTGGTCAATGACTCGACAGCCCCCGTCCGGTCTGGTCTACTACATGGCGGTCTCCATCCTGTCCGATCAACCACCCAGTAGTCTCGTTTTATCTAATCAACGACCTAGTGGTCTCTATCTTGTTCGGCCAATGACCTGACGCTGATCGACAACCGGCGCGGTCCCATGCCAGTCCCGTCAATGAGCCGACGGTCTCTGTCCGGGCCGGTCAATGATCCGATGGTCCGATCTCGATTTTTTAAAATCATTTTTAAAGTGAAGAGTTTTAAAAGAATCGTTGAATTGTCAACCAATATGGAAATGAGAAAAGAATTCGTCAAACTAACCGTTGAGATCGATCGGGTCCAACCAATTTTGATGCCGACTTTCCTATATGCGGGAGTGCGGGACCTGGTACCTTACTTGGGTTGTACTAGGTTCGATTCCATACCAGTACCATACTTTCGGTTTTCTGTTCGGTCACATAATCAGGTGAAAAATTTGATGAACATGTTTTCAGATTTGAAAATGGAAAACTAAAAAATGAAAACAAAAAAGTGGAGATAGAAAAACAGGAAAATGAAGATAGAAAATTTGAGAACGGAAAACAGATATAGAAAACTGAAAAATATTTCTGTTAATAAACATGTCCTAAACTTTCTTTTCTATAATATAAGCTTTTTTTTGTTAATTGTATGTAGATTTATTTTATTGGTGGGACCCATGATTGGTTCTCCCCTTGTCTTTCATTGCCAAGTAGTTTTTGAGTTTACCTAAGTCAACCATTCACATTTTTCTTAATGGGAGTTAATCTCTATAGTATTTGGTAGATACTGGAGTATTTTTTTATGTAGTATTATTCTGAAAAAAAAACTGTTTTTGGATACGATATTACGAAAATTGAATTATACAAATACTATTTTTTGTTGTACTTCTTAGTGTATACTACCTCCGTCCCAAATTGAGTTGCAAATTTGACTTTTCTTAGTCAAACAGTTTTGTTTTGTTCACTTAATTAGGATGTCAATTTTTAATTATATTCTAATTTGGAGTTTAGAACTTTGAAGAGATTTTAATGTAGTTTTTGAATATGTAAATTTTAATTATTAAAAATTGAATTAATTGTCCATAGGAAGAGTTGACTTTTATTATTGGTTGACCAAAAAATGTTGACTTTGCAAAACAAATTGGGACGGAGGGAGTATTATTTTATGGTGACAACTCTGGTACCTTTATAAAAATAGGGGTACCGTACCTAGCATTCATTTGATTGGACCACACCACTTTATCAATTTTAATTTAGATTTAAATAATTCAATTGCTACCTTTTCATTGATCCATGTGGACAAAGGTATGATACTTTATGGGTACCATAGAAACTATCATATTTTATTTGTTCTATATTAAGAGCATCTTCAATGGTAGAATGTGCACGGTGCACATGTGGCATAAGAGATAACCACATAAATTCTAGGAAATAAATTATTTCTCTCCTTATTTGAATAATTTTTTTCAGTTTTGGTAAGTTTTTCTCCACAATGTCAAGAAGACCGTCTAGATTTGACATTGCAGTTGACATTGCAGGAAAAACATACCAAAATTGTATAAAATAATTCAAGTAAGGAGAGAGATAATTTATTTGCTAATATTTATGTGGTTATCTCTTATGCCACATGTACAAAGATGTGATTTGAACCAGTTACTTCATTTTTGTAAGTGTCAAAATAATATCATCGTATTTGGCACAAAAATGGAATCACATTGAAAATTTATTTTGGTAATTAAAATTGAAGAGATTTCCTAAACGGGGGTAAAAACGTTTTGAAATTCCAAAATAGGAGTATCATGTTTTTTATTTTCTGAATAAAAGTAAATTTCTGCCGAATTTGACATTACAAAACTTTAAACATGACATTTTTTCCAAACTTGATAGAGTACTTATATAAAATGATTTCCGTTAAAATTAGCACGTTTACTCTCTCTTGACAAAGTAAAACAACTCTCTTGACCCGTGAGTTTCCATCTTTTTTACTTTTATTACTCCGTATTTCCTAAAATGACAGCAACGCCATGTTGTTTGTTAATTAATCGGTAATAATGACATAGAAAAACGAGAATAAAAAGTAGTGTCATATGATTGACTTACCGAATTTAACGAAATCGGACGGCTGGCGGCTTCGGTATCATATGATTGACTTGCAGAATTTAACGAGATCGGACGGCTGACGGCTGAAGTTGAGAGGCGGTCTTTAAGTTCTCAGAACCGGCAAGATACGGACGAACTGCTATCTTTCTCCTTCATTCTTTTGTTTCCTTCTGATTGGACCCTCTCTTCAATTCTCTCCCTTCATTCACCGCTTTCTCGAAATTTCCTTCCTGGATGTTTCGTGTACGTCTCTCGCTACCCAATATCATCACCATTCCAAAAGCCTAATTCCTCTCCCGCTGACAGAGAAGAACAGGTAAGGGGACATCATCGGATGAATGATTGAATTTGAAAGACTGTTCTTTTTGATGTTTTTTTCAGGGATTATTGTTGTTTTGATCGGGTTATTGTTGTTTTTATCACAGCCCTTGAGTGGAATCTTATGTAATTTCTTGGGGTTTTTTGTTCTTGATTTCCTTGATGACCTCTCCTCTGTTTCTGTTGTGTCCGGTCGGATTGTTGATGATTTTTCGCTGTTTCCGGTGCTTTTGTTTTTCTTGAAACATTTTAGCTATTGAC